AGTCACATCTGGATAAGGTACTCCACGCTAACAGCAGTATTAGGCCCACTGTTTTCAACCTGTTTACTCTGGGAAGTGAAACACTCTGACTGTTTTATTTTGAGCTCACAGAATACTGACTCACAACAAGATAGGGCTGAAGTCATAGGTGTCCTAACAGCACACAGATCCATATTATTTTGCAGGATTTTGTAGACTACACCGGTCTCTTACAACCTCTTACACCCTGCAACGAGGTGTTAAAAGACATCACTAATAGCCAACAGCCTCTGTTGGGTTTTCAGGTAGAGCAAAGCTGTGCATGACATTGCCACCAAAGGGCTCCTTCTTTTTGGTTGCACCCACCAAAGACAGTAAAATAAACCCCTTTATATGACCTGCTCTGTTCTTTCAACACATAATATTGAGTAAAAACATTATTACTATTATTGTTACCATTATAGTAAAGCAAGAAGGCTGTGTGGAGACCATGTCCCAGTTGTGCTAAGTACTGTGCAAACAAACACGAGGTGCATTCATGCTCTAGGCAGCAAGAAAGACAAAGGCAATATTATTAGTATGCCCATGAACTGAGGCATACTGAGATTATCCAACTTGCCCAAGGTCACACAGGAAGTAAATGGCAGAGCTGGAAATTGAACCCAGATTTCGTGAATTGCAGGCCAGGATTTTAACCACAAGGCCATCTTTCGTCTCTCTTTTTCTTTTTTCCTCTGATCTTTCTATTTTAGCACACTTTTGAAAAAAAATTACTCTTGAAAATCCATTCGGCAATACTTTAGGTATGCTGTGGCCTCCCCAACTGTATTTAGCACAATTATAGGCTAAAAGGAACTCTTGCAAATTATGTGCAAATAGATACGTCTTTATGTAAATCCAAGTTTTTGGAACATAAATCTACAGCCAAAAACATACAAAGGTTTAAGCCAGGGAGGAATTAAGCTCCGAATTTTTTCCTTTTCGAAGGTTGGTAACTGAGGTACAACAGCCCCAACTAAAGAAAGGAGAATACAGACTGGATGCCTGGGGAGTAGTTATGCCAGCTCTAATAAACCTATTTTTTCACCTATAGAAATGTGAAGGCAACAGAAGGTCATTACTGTAGAGGATTCTGTCACACATATGACAGTTTTTGTATACATTTTGTATATATTTTCTGAACGAGTTACTGTACCGTAAGTGCAAGAATACTGAAAGACAGGCAAGATTCTAATATTGCAGAGCCACGCAGCAGATATGGGAGCCTGAGCAGAGGAGTGTTTTATGGTGTTTGGCTAGTGATGTTATACAGGGTTAACCCTCTGGGAGATTTTCTGTCTACTGAAATGAATGCGCAGGCATAGCAAGGATCCTCTCTCCCAGGTGCACCAAATGCCTTGTCACTCCCAGACCAAAATATGCCAGCTTCTCAGGGGCAGACCAGGAGACAAACTACAATGTTGTTCTGCAGAAATGCAAGAAGCAGAGCCAGATTAAGTTTATTCACCAGGATACACAAATGTGATCCCTGATTCCCATGACAAGGGTAGGATAACCCATGTGAAACAGAAGAGTGCTTACTCTGAGTAATACTCTCAATACACGATTGTGCCTTGGCTGCAGTTCTGCCTTGGGTCTGAAGCTCTGGGTAATCCACTAGTTTTGTGCAGGCAGTTGTTGATAAAGTTCAATTTAGGCACAGCAGCCTAATATTTCTCAAGAAAAGTCTCACGTATTTTTTCACTTGACCAAATAGATTTGGTTAAAATCATGCAACGCTTCTCCTTTCCTACACCGGAATCAAAAGGGAATAAACCTCTTTATATAGACACATTGTGCTATTCTAATATGGTAAGAGGAATATGAAGGCATAGAATTTTTTAGGTAAACTGTTCTGGGGTGTATACTCTTTCATTTACTGTATAGATAGAGACCCAAACACTAAATGTATCTGTTTGTAGTGTGGAGTCTAAAGGGCACTGTGTAGGCACAACCATACTATTCAGCTTTTTTATCCTTCTAAACAGGACAGCCACATCCAAGCTGTGCATCAGGAACAGTCTCTGGCTTGTGCAAACTTCAGGAGGTATTAGGTATTGCCTACAGATGGAAGGGACTGTACCTCATTCCTTGTGCTAGAACTTCTGTCTCAGCAGTGTTAGATTTACTAGCTAGAAAGGAATTTTATCCAAGATTATTTAAGCTCAATATCTTCTACCCAGAACGTTCAAGCTTTGAGTGCAAGGGCCCTCAGCCCAAATGCTGATCACCCACGACCTCAGAATTCTTTCATTCATTTTGAGAGAGCTGGGTATGGTTAGGGTAGCACCAAGGGCAGTGGGGGAAGAGGGAAAGTATGTGGTTAATTGGGGCATCTAGTAGGTAGAAGCAAAGATGTAGGGGACAATAACTCATTCCTTGGCAAGAATACTTCTAATGATAGACCTATACTTGAACATACATATGATTTTCTGGAGCATGTTGGAAACCACATAAACAGAAGGTCAGTCTGGTAGGTAGATGGGGTGAAATTTTATCTCAGAATCACCTGTTGGGGCCAGCATCAGTGGGAGTGCAGGATCAGCATCCACGTATACTGTGGATATATATGAATATACACAGAATACACAATTACTAACTTTCCCAGTTACATAGACAGTTCAACTGATCATCATGAACCAAGTTTCTGAAGGGAGAAGCACATGATATTGTGTGCACACTGCACGTGGCACCTGCAAAAGGGACCAAGTAAGCAATATGTAGTTGTCTTCACAATGGGAATCTGAGTAATGTCACCAATGGCTTTAGTAGAGCAATCCAGCCCTATAATATAGTAACCATTGGCAGTTCTTGGCCTCTGTGTGAGCACAGGCAAAGGCTGTGGAGTCTAATTTCAGACTAATCCAACAGCAGGCAGGAGAACCAGCAGTGCTGGATCAGCACTTCCACCAGAATTGGCGCAACTCACTATAACTCATTCCTTCTGGGCTCTTTTTTAAAGTGCCATCTGGGACTGTGCTGCTAAGCTGTCCTACTAACAACAACACTGTTAATAATAATAACAATATTCAGGTCTTACATAGCATTTTTCACCTTTAGATCTCAAAGTGATTTACTATGGAAGGCTTTGGAGGGCTTTAAGAATAGATTATATAGACATCTGTCAGGAATAAACCAGATTTCCTGGCCCTGCCACAAAGCAGGGGAATAGTTTGATGCTCTTTCTATCCCAGAATTTCTGTGATTACCCCCATTTTATACAAAGAGGACTTTGGCTCATGCAGTAGCAAGAGGACCTGAGTGAATCAGACAATTATTGCTTTGAAGCTTCCACGTCAGCCCAAGACCTTATGAATTGTGAAAGAAAAGAGCTGAAGCTCTCCCCAGCCTAACACTAAAAATCAGTTCTGGGTGGTCACTGTGGAAGTACACCAGTATAACTCAGACAGGCTAGTAATTAAAAGTGTTACATAGATAACATTTCCAATGGTAGAAAACTATATGCTGTGTTGAAGCCTTGAAGAAGGCCATAAATCAAAGGCAAAGGTAGGATTAATTCTTCAAAATGGGAATGAGTAGCCCTCCATCCCCCTCCACTGACAAACAGGAGCTGGAGCAAGCAACTAGACTGAGCGCTTGACTTTTTGGTTGCTGCTGATGTTAGGTGAGAGATGTTGCAGCCAGCCTGGAAGAGGGAGTTGGATATTCTCATGGTTTCTTTGCAGAAAGAGAGATCCCATGAGCACCCACAGGTCTTTCAGATAAGGGACAGCTGGGCTTTCAGGTGATGAGAAAGGGCCCCAGAGATTCCCTAAATGCATAGCAGTGAAGAGGCCAGTGTCAGATTTTAAATCTCATAATATTCTGTTGCAATTTTGCTTTCTTTTTTTGTAGCTAAGAACTTAAATCTTTTGCTTAACTACACAAAACCTGACTCTGATTTAAGTTTCTTTGGTGTACATCATAGAGTTACTGGTCCACCTTAGGAGCAGGAGATCCAAGCATATTGGAGGTGCAAACCTGTCTGTGGAGATTCTGCAATGCAGTACATATTTAGTGGCCCTCAGGGACGGGAATTTTTTTGCAAACATCAGTCTAAGAAGCAAAATCAACAAGTGCCAAGAAAAAGAGGAGCCATCCTCAAGCCAGGCACGACCTCATGTTATTTTGCAAGGGACACAGAAAAATGAAGAAAATTAGAACATTCCGAACCACAGGAATAAACTCCTCATTGTCACAGTTCACAGTTGGAGTTTAGTCATCATAAATGCACTTTCATACCTGTGTTCATAGAGCAGCACCTAAAAGGCCTCTAGAACAGGCAAACAGCAGCACAGACCGTATCTGAACAGATATCCATGCAGATCCTACAATTTTAAGAAAAATGTTATAAATTGGAAATATTCTAAACTACTTTTTCCTTAAGAGTATTTTTATCAAGTCCTTAAGTTTCATTCACATTTTCTATGCTTTTTATTTCCTTGTTTTCTCATTAAAGGAAATAGAAAAACAAGAAACATCAACCTATTCCATTTTGACCACCTGTGGAAATGAAATCTGTGAACAGCATGTAATTCAGGAGTCAGATAAGATAAATTCAGTGCACTAATTTTTAGTTTCTCATGTTTCACAGTGAGGCAGGAGTCCAGATATCACCACACCAGCACGGCCACAGGGTTGGACACTTACCAAAGCGGTTGCCTTCAGGGGTCTCCAGAGATCAGGCTTTTCCTCAGCAAGAGCTCCACATCTTCACAGGGAGCAGCAAGGCCAGGGGAAAAACCTCATTTCAGCATCGACCCCAAGGAAAACCAGGAATATGGAGAGACTTAAGAATTTTAAAGAAAAGCAAACATAAAGCTAGTTCCAGTTTTTCCCACAGATACAAACAAACAAAAAAAAAAAGAAAAAAAAAGAAAAACAGAAAAAACATTCAGGAATAGTTTAAAGTTTTATACCAGTCAAAAAAAAATCCACACGAACTTGTTCACTCATCACCCTGAATAAAAAAGGGCAAACACTCCCTATTCCATGAAGCTATTCTTGGCCACTGTGAGCTAAAAGCAGGGAGGGCAGTTTAAAGGGGGCAAATACAATTAATGTTCCCCCTTTTGCCATATTTCTGGGCCCAGGGGACAAATCAGGAAACTTTATGTCAGCAGGAATGTGAACAATAAAGGCAAAGTGGGTTGCATGTTAAAAAACCGTTTCACTCCCTTTTTATTTTTTCTTTATTTTATTTTTTTGCCCAGCAGTATGATGTGTTAACAATTTTGTTGGTTTAACAGTTCACACTTCCAGCACATTTATCCATTGGCACATGGGGGTTTTATGCATTTAACAGTTTTCTTCATTAAAGTGGGTTCCACTGTGTCTTAAAAATTGTTTTCCTTAGACTGCGTGTTTGTTATTTTATATGGTGTGACTGAGAAGCAGGCCAAAATTTTGGCCTTGGAAAATGCACACTGCAGAGAGGAACCCAGTGCAAGCAGCAGGATTAGTCTCCCTCAAAGCCCAGGCACATATTCTTCTAAGGTCTGCTGATTGCACTTTGAAGCTTTCTCCCCTAATTGCTGGAAGATTCTTAATTTGTCCTCAGCTTGGGGGAATGAGTCGCAGATGTGCGTGCTGCTATCAAAATCCTTTCTGTGCAGCTCTTTTGCACACTGTCATTGAGACGGACTTCATCCCCTTCCGCAGTGCCCTTGAACCACCTGTTTTTCACTAAAACAGTGCCAGCATTTTAATGTTTTTTAATTATTTATTTTGAAGGGAGAGCAGGGGTTGGGGGAAGGGAGAGGGCGGCTGTTGTTTCTACAGAAGCAGGACTGGTTCTTATAGGCACAGGAGACATCCAGGTGTTTTCACAGCAAGCCCCGTGCAGGGCCCTTTTGGAGTCAAACTAGATTCCTGTTTGCCAAACTACACTTTCAAGAGGTGTCAGATATCGAGAACCTGTTTCAAACGCCAAGCCAAACAACGGAGGGGAAAAAAAACAACAACGAGAGGGAGGAAGGGAAGAAGGGGGACATGGAGAAAAAAGGAAAAGGGGAAAATGTTCCTCCTTGAAGAAAAAGGCAGTTGTTCCAACTTGGCCATTTCTTTTAAAAATAATTAGTTAAGCAGTGCATAAATACAGGTAAGTCTGTTCTGCATTGCTCATAGCCTTGGCAGGCTGTGTCCTTCCCCACGTTAGAGGAATTTCTGTGAACCACCGCTGCACAGGAGAAGGGAGGGGAATTGTATCACTGTGACCTAAGGCAACCCAGCTTGTAAGGTTAACCATAATTTTTTAAACTAACATGACCTCTGTTAACCCCTCAACTCCAATCTAAAAAAGAAAAAAAGGAGAGAAACATGTTTACAAAGCCACTAGAAGGAGAAACGGGGTCAGCAAGAGGCTGTGAGCCTTGATCCTTCTCTCTCCCTTCCATCCCCACATCTATCCCACACCAGCTCCATTGTCCCTGTATGTCCCCATCAGTAGCTGGTGTTTACTGGGTCTCAATGCAGCATGTCTAGGGACTTTGCTTTTTCTAGTGAGTCACAGAATCATAAAATTAAGCCATTCTGGGAAGCCAAAAAAAATTCGGTTTCATGTGTGCATTTAAGGCTTTGCAGGAATGTTCATGTCTGGATGTCTGAGTCACATGATCTCATGGTAAATGTGATACATCCTCTTTTTAATGACACAATTGGTTTCCTTTGTTTATTTTGTTTCCCTCTACTCATCCCTCTCTGCTTATTCTGCAGAAGAATGCAGGCCATTTCCTCCAGCTGGAATACCAGGTAAGCCCACCTCAGGCACCCTTTGCCCTTCCCTCTTCTATAATTCTCTTAAATCAAGTAACCAAAGCCAATGCCAGCATGGCCGTGGGCCAGCCGGAGGTGGCATGGGGCCATGTTATATGGTGTAGTCAGCTTTTGTGTCAACATTTGGATGCTGAGTTCATCTTAACCAGAATGTGCCAAGCTCAGAGGAATGTGAGTCTGCCTCAGAAAATATATGTGCAAGACAGTCCCCACAAAGACACTGGTTCAGGGAGTGGTCTTACTTATTTCTGGGTCTCAAATTTTTCCTTATGGCTTACTCCTACCCATGTTCATTTCTGGTCACTCAGAAACAGATGTGACATGGGGAAAAAGGGTGTAGGTACAATATGTAGAGATGTAACCTCTTCTCCCACTGATGTACAAGCTGCAAATACTGCCTAACTGCTCTTGAATACCCCCCTCCTCCATGCTCCACCAATTTGTGTGGCAGGCACAAGCCCCTGATTTTATGTGGGACTGCAGTTAAGCCATTCTTAAAATGTCTTTTCTTTGAAACAGTTCCTTCCCTGCTCAAACAAGCATAAACAAATATGTCTGCTTATATATTTGTAATTAGTAAGCATGGAAAATCTACCAATTAAGTAAAGTTAACATTCAATATAAGAAACAAGAGGCCAGATTCTCAACTGGTATGAGCTGGCAGAGGTTCAAGACTTCATTAGAAAAATGGCCTGAACTACCATTCATCCAATATGTAGTCCAGTCCTCCATCCTAAAATGAGCTCATGTACAATTAATTGTTTATATACATTTATATTTGCAGTCCTGTTTGGGTTCAGTGAGCAAGGGAAACACCAGATTTATCACAGACTGCTCACCAGCAAATGTGCTGAGTTCAGCTTTCTGCATATCCATTGTTTGGGCAGTATTAATACAGCACAGGGTTAAATGGCTACTGTAGCTGTCTATTCTGGTGGCCCCTAAACGGCACCTATAGTCCATGAGAAGACAGACACCTATTTCCAAGGACAAAGCTGAGCATCTAGTTCCAGCACCTGTCCCAGATGGTGCTTTCTGCAATTAACTCCATCTACACTAAGTAACAGAGAGACCTGCATCCTTAATAAAGGTACTCAAACAAATTATACTTCCTTCACCTAGTAACTACAGTCAGTGATACGAGAGGGAAGTGCAACCTGAAAGCCTGCCTTTTAGCCAGGTGGAAATAGCCTGTAAATCATGCTAGTGGTAGCAAACATCTCAGAGAAAGGACTGGGATTTTGGTGTGATCACTGTATCTTGAACTATGAGGACCCATGAGCTTCAAGGAAGGAAGGTGGATTGCAAAGGTCCTGGAAATACCATCATTATGCTTCTTCTCTATCTGCTCAGATGGTCCCATACTGGATGGATGAACAACCTGAAAGCAGCTGTGGCTAGACATAGAGCAACCAGTTGGGAGAGCATTTTCACCTCTGCCAAGTCCTGAGCTGTATCTTGGAAATTGTTTGGGTGAATAATCGTTGGCCTAAACCCTGCTGGGACTCTTCTAATAATTTAGCAGTACAACCAGTCAAGCTTTAGTGAAAAGAGACAGGCCTTCATACAGAAGTAGCATACCAGGTCATGAGCAAAATTTCTCAGTAGGTCCCACTGGACCACCTTGTAAGACAGTTCCAAGGATGGAGGTCCACCCTGCTCATCTGTACTTGCATGTCAGCAACTCTTTTCATTTACCATGTGCTTATGATTTAACTGTCTGATTTCTGGAAGAAAAGAAAATAAAACATTAGAGACTTACTTCTAACATTTCCTAAAGGAAGAAGAGAAACTGCTGATGGAGAAGAGCAAACTCATCTTACACTGAAGATACCATCTCCTCTAAAAAGGCATCACTGGCACATGTATTGGTGCAAGTCTTTCTATTCCCACCCTTCCTCCAAACTGCCTTTTTCTATGCTAAAGCTGTTTGGAAAACACTGTAATTCTGATTGTTCAAAAATGGTGTCTCAAAGTTTGAATCTTTGTTCCTTTTACAAATAACCGAATTAGTAATTTTTCTAATCATTTGACTAGGTGACATCTAAGATCTACTAGCAATATTGATTTACAGTGGTCTTCTGCAGTGGGGAGTTGACTTCAGCATCTTGATGATGATCCACAAGGTATTGTCTGAGGCACCTATGTTAACAGACAAAAGAGTACTTGAGGCTATCTGATGCATTTAATGGAATGAATACATCAGCATCTATTTGAATATGGCTCTCCAGTCTCCTTAAAAACAGAAGTTCTGGTAATGAAGTTTCATCCAGGTCTACCCAGATTTGAACAGGTTTTCATTTTTTTTTTTAGCTATTCCCAAACACTATTCACATTCTTGTCCTATAGTTTGTAGGCTTTGTGAGAACTGGCAACTAAATGAAGGGAAGTGATGCGCACCAAGCAAGGGGCCAGAAGAGCTGAGAACAGAGCTTGGTGTTAGATTCCCATTCCTAGGCCACATCCTTTACCATGCTGCCTCCTGCCTTTTAATTTTCTTCTAAAATTTCTACTTAATTCAGTCTTGCTTCTTGACATCATCTCTTGAGAAGGTTTTCTCAGCCAGAACTGAGAGCGGTTCATGTAAGATTGATTTGGTCTTAAAACTATTGCTGTAATGAAAAAAAATCTTTTTTTCCCTGCCCTAGAGCACCTTGAGATTACATCAGAGTCATAAGGGAAATAAGGAAGAACCTGAGTCATCTTTTCTCATCCTCTCTTTTGCTGCTTTTCTGAATAATGAGATGCAGGCCTGATGATTTAGGTGAAACATCCAATATGATCAAGAATATGCTGGAATTCTCCTGCTTACTCCCCAGGCTTCAAATTGGTGAGTAAAGAGTACTATCACTTATTCCAGGTGTTGAATTGGATTGGTACTGCATGTGCACATTTTGTAGTTTCTTGTATTCACTAAAATGTCATAAAATAAGATTTAGGTAACTTTAAAAGTACCCAAAACATTATCTCTTCAAAACTTTAAGGGATTTTCTAAAGTTGCTGAAATAATTTTAAATTCCTAATACAACTGTAAATGGCCTTCTGTAATCCCTGCAAAAGCAGACCACAGATACCAGTAACTGGGCACCTGAAATTACGGTCTGCATTGAGATGGATTTTAATTCTCCCCAGTTCCTTCCCTCTCTCCACCGGAACTTTGAACAGACCTTAAAGAGCTTCAATAAAATGAAATATTTGGATACCAGTGTGATGGATGTCACAGAAGGGACTACAAGAGTGTGAAGTATTCGCTATCTGACCTTGAAATAAATAGAACCTGATGTTATACATCAAAGGAAACCAATCAGTAGTCACAGCCAAAGCACACAATAATTCAGGGACAATTATATCCATTTCAGAACTTCGTTTTCCTCTATACTACTACACATAGAGCCTTCTATAGACACCATCAGCCTTATTCACCCCAGTCACTCCCACCTTTTCAGGTTGCCACTCTTATCCCAAAGCCTGCAGCTCCAACCCACTGTACTCCACACAGCTTTTCTACAAGTCTTGCAAGCCCTCCTTCCAGTCTCTTCCTTTATTATCCTTGGCAGGATCCTCACCATCAAATTAAGGTGAATTACTGTGAGGCTGCTTCTTTCCCGTCTATTCTGTATGGTACTAGGATGGTGAGTATTTAAAGCATAAAAATTACAACTTTTCAGCTCTTCCACAAGTCACTGAAATGGACTCCAAGTGGGAGGTGTAACTGGTGAAAAATTTGTGGTCTTCCATAGTAGCTCTCGGCTGCATTATGGTCAGTGCATATGCACTGGAAAAAACAAGTGCCTCAATCCCAATAAACTTCTATTGAACAGCTGTGCAGCCCCCAGATGAGATTTTTCAGTGACATTTACTAAACTTGGATGTATTTTCACCAGAACTACCAAAGCCAAAA